CCCTCCATCGATGGCTCCAGTGAGCCTGTACTTAAAGACCAGAGCTGCCATCAGTTCTTTGCTAGTCTGTCAGCTACCTCCTGTTCTCCTCGTCCAGTCATCACTTTGCTTACCTGCAGTCAATTACCTGAACACTGGTTTTCTTGGCAAGATTTTCCAAACTTCTCCACAGACTCACCCTTGGCACCTAATTAATTACCTCCTTCACCTGCTCTTCCTGTCTGCTGTCTTCTCTGGATCGTCTGGAACTTAAAGTTGGAATCGCATTTTGTCACTCACCTGTCGGACGCTTCCTCAGCTGCCTCCCCTCTATGCTTAACAACCTCCACCTGCTAGTAAGCCATCAAGTCTCTCTTTCTGGTTCTCGCTCATCATCCCCATATCTAACTACACTATCCCTCTGTTGCAGAGCCTCACGTCAGTGATTCTCTGCCTCGTGCTCACGTCCCATCCTTCGCCCCCTCATCATTGTTATTCTTGTGTTTGCAATAAAACTCATATATTCCATTGATGTCTTCTGTTTGGTATTTGCGCTTGGGTCCACTGCCATGTACTGGCTTCCAGGCCCTTAGTCCGCTCAGCAAACAGGAGTCAGTCGCAGGACTCGTCTATAAAATTACATGAATTTATTTTCAACTTGGACTCAAACAACAATTCAGATCCAGAAACACTGATTAACTCACCGCTAACCACGGAGGAATCTTGCCACAGGAATGTGCACACAAGAAGACAAAGGTTAGCTTTTCTCAACAGGATAAACCTTTAAACGCTAAACCGTCGCCAGTGACGGGTTAGGGCAACTCCAGGCCTCAAGGGCTGGTGTCCTGCAGCGTTCTTGTCAAACCCTGGTTTAAAGCGTAAATGAGGTTAGGGGTTAAAGGGATAAGGTAGAATAAGACAACTATAGTGGAGAAACGTGGTGTTGAACACTGACTGTAGTAGTTCAATAATCCAACAAAGACTGAAGTTCAGCCACTTTCTTAAGTAGGGGCTTCTGACAAGGTTAACAGAGAGAGGTGTGCAATCACTCACAGGTGTGTGAAGCCCAAGGGGGGGCACCTGTGGTAACTCCCACCTCTGCAAAAAAAACAACCCACCAACACATGCAAGAGTGGAATTTTATCATTTTATACTCATACAATGATGATACTTCAGAATTATGCAATTCCATTATTATGACTTATGTCTCACTGTCTCCAGTTTGAGACTCGCCACCGTCACAAAGCAGCATTTCAAAGACACTACAGTCCTGCAAATGAACTGCATGCTGTTTGTGCAGATGTTTGTACATGTTGGAGGTATTACCACTCTTTGTTGTGAGCAGTGTTGGCTCATTACTCAAAAAAGTTAATGTACTACACATATTATACAAAACGTACTTTTCTTAAAAGTCAAAAACTCAACGATCCAGGTGAGGAAATCCAAAAAGTTGATTCTGCTCATCTGGACGTAGCGTTTTCAGTGGCAGGAGCGTTTCGCCTGTCACAGTCCTGGGTCTTTGACCCAACGTTTTGGGATTTTGAGTTAGTAGTCTTTGATTTCATTGATATTTATAGTATTTGGTCTCTTGGTTTCCGTCACTGTGCTTCCTCTGTGTTCCTTGTGTCACATCTGATCTAGTTATGTGTTCATATCTGTGCTTCTCATTGTTCCAGTGTCAGTCCATGTCTCTGTGCCTGTTTCCTCTCGTCCTGTGTCTCATTCCCTCGTTATCCCTCTGTGTATTTAAGCCCTTTGTCTTCCTCTGTTTGCTGCCTGATTGTCTGCATATCATCTACTGCAGGTGTGGGCATTAGTACAGTACTGACATACTGTACTAATTTGGGAACAGATCTCTTTGGGACCTTTATGGAAACAAAGAGCATTTCGAGGGACCCGATGCGTTTGAAAATGACCCTGAACATTATACACTGCCTGGCCAAATAAAAGTCGCCACCTGTTGGTCAATTACTGCATTGGCAATTACCTTTCAGCTGGCAACAAGTTATTTAACCCCAGCTGGTGAAATGAGTTGCTTCTCATTTCATAAACAACCATGTCGCGAGACACATCACGTGGTCCTGGAAAAGATGTTAGTGTGTTTGAGAAGGGTCAAATCATTGGGATCCATCAAGCAGAGAAAACGTCTAAGGTTAAGAACTGTCCAATGCATTATTAAAAAGTGGAAGGGTAGTGGGGACTCATCGTCTTGGAGGAAGAAATGTGGCCAGAACAAAATCCTGAATGATCGTGATCGGCAATCACTTAAATGTTTGGTGAAATCAAATTGAAGAAAAACAACAGTAGGACTCAGGGCTATGTTTAATAGTGAAAGTAAGAGCATTTCCACACACACAATATGAAGGAGTGGGACTGAACAGCTGTTTAGCTGTAAGAAAACCACTAATCAGTGAAGCAAACCGGGGAAAGGCTTCAGTTTACTAGGGAGCATAAAGATTGGACTCTGGAGCACTGGAAGAAGGTCATGTGGTCTGATGAGTCCAGATTTACCCTGTTCCAGAGTGATGGGTGCATCAGGGTAGGAAGAGAGGCAGATGAAGTGATGCACCCATCATGCCTAGTGCCTACTGTACAAGCCTGTGGGGGCAGTGCTATGATCTGGGATTGCTGCAGTTGGTCAGGTCTAGGTTCAGCAACAGCATGTGCTCCAAGAATGAGGTCAGCTGACCAGCTGCTACACAGCAAATCCAGCATGTCCAAATTAACACTGTCGGATTTGATTTCAACACTATTAAAGTGTCTATATGGGTCCACACCAGAGAGTGTTAATTTAACTCTTTTTGGAGAGTTGGTACGTTAACTCTGATTTAGTGTTAAACACCAAATCTGTCTGGAGTTGATAATTTAACACTTGGTGTTAAGAGTTTATATATTAACTCTCAAAGAGTATTTTAGTTTAACTACGTAAGAGTTATCTTCTAATTCATTCTAAAAAAGCGGGAATTTTACTGTTCTGAACTTCTAGAAATTTCTTTTGGAAATAAACATTTACTAAAAAGATGCAATGGTTTTTGAAAAACATTTATTCTGAACTGTGCACCACAATTTCAAAACATTTTCTGAAAGATGTAACAGTGTACATGTTCTCACTTTCATTAGAATTTTGTTTATCAAAAGGTCTGACATGGTAAATGCAAATAACAGCATCTCATCACTTATTTCTTCAATACAATATGCATGTCCTTCATTCATCCCTTTGTGGAACTTCAGCGCACTTCTGCTCTCCCCCATATTCATCTTCACAAGCATATCCTGTGTGGAGATTGAATAAAAATTAGTTGACACTAATTAATGGCACAAATAATCCAGTAAACAATTGCAGCACAGTAAAAAAAAGGAATCCTCTTTGAGCCATTACTTGTGTAAAGTATTTTCCCAAAAGACAAAGACACAGGCAACAGGTAATACTGAACTAAATGTAAAACCTCAACCTTTTTCATTTTTACCTAAACCGTGTGCACGAAACTCTGGAGGGATCTATGCTAACGTAGAATCCAGTCAGGACGTCAGCTACTGCTGTTTGCTCGTGTTTTTTTTACAGGCGATCGTTTTCAGGCTTCAAGTAGCACCATTATACCAACATTTCACATTCTACACATTGTTTTAGGCGTATTTGACCAAACGTTTGACTGAAAATTCACATGCAAGCTTTTTTCAAGGCTGTGGTATTTGCCCGCAAACAATACCTTTCAGCTAGCTAAAACAGAATATTATGCTATCATAATAATTGAAAAAAATGACTTACCAAGCAGGGCAAACAACTCAAATATGTAGAGCAAAATGTTCTGAAACGGCTTCACTTCAGCTTCGATTGGAGCCGTGCTGGGGGCGGAGTCTGTGAATTGACTCTGTTGGTGTCATAGCCCCTGTAGGAGTTCAGAGTTCAGAGGTCAAGAGTTAATGTTTCCATTGTAACACCTCCAGATTTGACAGAGAAACACTCATTTTTAACACTCGATTTTAACTACTATCATTTTACACCTCAGAGTTACATTAAAAGAATGTGACTCTGCTTAGAGTAAAATTAACTCTACTTTTGCAAGGAGACTATTAACACCAAAACATTTAACACTTTTGAATTTGCTGTGTATGGACCGCAAACGCCTGCAGAGAGTGACAACTGCGGAGAAGATCATCAGGACTCCGCTGCCCTCTCTGCAGAGCATCTACCATCACAGAGTCCAGAGGAGAGCTGCCTCCATCCTCAAAGACCCCACACACCCCCAACACGGACTGTGCACACTTCTGAAGTGTGCACATCAGGTCATCCTGCATATTAAGCTATAGGTCTTTGCACACATCTCTGTTTTACACCTCCATATGTTGTCTCCTTTCCTGTCTTCATTTATTTATTTGTACTATTTGTATTTTATGTTCTGTTTTTATTGTATATATTAATCGGCATCTGTGGGTGGACAGCAAAGAAAGGATTTCATTGCACAGAGAAACGCCTTTGAATCTTTGAATCTACCCGACTATACTGAATGACCAGGTTATTCCATGAATGGGTTTTTTCTCCCCTGATGCGTGGGCCTATTCCAAGATGACAGTGCCAGGAGTCATCGGGCTTAAATGATGAATTAGTGGTTCTGGGAGCATGAGACATCATTTTCACACATGGACTGGCCACCACAGAGTCCAGACCTTAACCCCATTGAGGATCTTTGGGGTGTGCTGGAGAAGGCTTTGCACAGTGGTCAGACTCCACCATCATCAATTCAAGATCTTGGTGAATGAATGCAACACTGGATGGAAATAAATCCTCTGACATTGCAGAAGCTTACTAAACAATGCCACAGTGAATGCGCCAAAGCTGAAGGGCGACCAACAAAATATTAGAGTGTGTGACCTTTTAATTTGGTGGTGACTTTTTTTGGCCAGGCAGTGTATTAATGCAGAATAGCAAATTAGTAAATCTTTCTTTTAGACTTAATGAGAAGTAGAAAAGGCTTTTTTTTAAAAATCTCTCCAACATAGAACACAACAAATGAATGTTGAGTGTTACAGCGAAGTCTTTGCTTAACATTTAATAGTATTTTAGAACAGAAGATTTTGTTCATATGAAAAAAAGTTTCAGTATGGAAGTATGCAATCTGTTATTTACGTATAAAGCAAACAGTGTATATCTTTGTGTAACAAATATTTGGGCATGCTGCAGCACACTCCTGCTAGCTGCTTTTAAATGTTTTCTATGTGATTTAGTATTTTAAATCATTTTTGTTGTCCAGTTTCACTAAAGTCCAAGTTGATCCCAGAGAGCAGTTCTCCTTCACAGGAACGGTTTAAAAGCTCTTTCAGAGTTTCATTCACGTTGTTGAAAGCTGAGGAGAAGCTGCAGTTGGGGTATCTTCTACCTTCATCTGTATGAAATGACCCCATGACATCCTGCACCCACTTCACCTCGTTGCTTAGTTCCAGGGCCAGGGCATCAAACCGGCTCTGTCTCTCCTGGAAGCGGTTGCTGATGGCACCGAGGCTGCAGCTGAAGGCTTGGATGTCATCCTGCAGGCTCCTCTTCAAGGCCTCCACCTTACGGAACTCGTAGCGGATTTGCGAGAGCTCGTGACGCATGGCTTCATTCTCCTCCTTGTAGCAGGCTTCCTTTTCATTATAAATAGAGACCATGGCGTCTATATTTTCCTGCAGAGAGTCGTGGGCTGCGGCCAGGCTAATGAACGAGCTCTCCATCTGGTCAATGTCCTCCACAACCTGGGCAAAGCGCTCAAAGTTCACGTAGGTGTTGTTGGGTGGCATGCTTGAGTGGGACTTGATAGTGTACTCCCTCAGGCGCTTGGTCTTCAACTGGCGCCGCTCACTTTTCTTTGGCCCCCTGGCTTTATTCTCTTCCTTGTTCTCATTGGACTAAACAATTTCAAACACAGAGAGAGATTAACTGTTTTAAAGAAGAATCTTGGGATTCTTGAAAGGTGCTCTACAAATCCAAGTTGTTATTATTATAAATAGTAGTGACTTTATTTCTAAAGAACCTTTCAAAAACACTGTCAACATGCTTTTTATTCAAAGAATTAAACATTAAGTCAACATCAAAAGTTTGAGAGATAGCATAATAAAAATGTGAAAAGAAAGGATAGCATGCTCAGGTTTTTAAGAAAACTGCAGGAGATAACTGCAGCAGGCGTTAAATTATTTTTTGGCTTAACCATTAGAAGCTGAAAGGACTGGGAACAAACAATTAGGTCTGCAAATGTGGGACAATTACAGTTTGTTTTTGTTTTTTTTGGGGGGGGGGTAATTTTGATTCTTTACAATAAAAATATTTCTTTACAAATTTCAGAGGCTTAAAAATAACTGGAGAACGGACAGTTTCGTGGACGGATGAGTCCTGTTACCTAATTATTCCCAGAGAGAGGACACTAAGTAGATAAAACAAAAATTAATAGCTTTTCATGGAAACTTTCAATAACCGTTCCTGTTGGACAGTGACTTGGTTTTCCTGCTCCCTGTTCAGGGTTTCCGTGGCTGCTTGTGAATCCTTGTTAGGATCTCTGGGGTTTGGACCCGGCGTTTTGGGGAAGGAATTTTGTTGTTGATTTTGGGTTTTATGATTTCTTTAGTTTCTGAGAATCTCTTATCTCCAAAAGTTGATTCTGTTCATCTGGTCGTAGCGTTTTGTGGGAGAAACGTTTCATCACTCATCCAGGTGACGTCGTCAGTCTCAGCTGACTGCAGGTTTCAATCTTATAAACAGGACATTTGCACAATGACTGAAACCAGCCCAGTGAGGGAACAATGGGCTGGGAGGTCAGTTCCTTAATCTTAATTATGCAAAATCTCATGACCATTGATCAATGACCACATTCGTGGTTGATTCGCTCTGTTCCTGTGCTACTGCCAGTGTAACTCCCCCCCCCCCCTCTGCTCAGCGCAAAGCGTCGTTCACGTCAAAGATCCGGCTCTAAGAGCCATTTCGTTCGTGACCGACACATCACTAGTGGACGCACAACTCCGTGAAAACAACTGAAAACGCTGGTGTGGATAGTTTTCAGAAGAAAACGCAGTTTTCAAATTTATCCGGGCTGGTGTGGACGTAGTCACAATGTTTTGTTTTATCTACAAAGAGCTCTTGGACTTCACGATTCAGTTTTTGTCCTAATGTGCAGTGTGAATTGCGTAAAGTCTCCTTGATCAGGTCATTTCAGAGCAACTCTACGTTAAGTCTGAATATTTTCCTAAATGAGAGATTTCAGTTTTTCATGCTCGAGTCTCCTGTTTCTCTGTAAATTTCTCTGTAATTTGAAACTGAATTTATAACAGTGAAGTTTTTAAAAAGCGAAGAGCCCTAAGTGGTTTCTGAGGCATCATTTCTCTATAAAGCTCTCTGATAGCCATGCATTGCTCTGCGAACTGAGATGGCTTCAACAGAAGCATTACCTTGATCCATGGGTGATTGAGGGCATCTTGAATTGTTAATCTTTTCCTGTGAGACAAAAAAAAATCTTGCTAACTTTCATTATGTAAAAGTAGTGATGTGACTATAATGAGCTCTCCAGAATTAATGTGCGTTTTACTCTCCTGCTGTGGCACAAGTATCCTTCACTAAGCTATCCCTGAGCTCTTACTTCTTATCCTTCTCGAGTAGCTGGCTGATGAAGTTCTTGGCCAGCTTACTGGTGTGACAGAAGAACTCTTCATCAAACTCATAATTTATGGCTGAAATGTTCCTCAGTGTGTCCTGTTTTGTGTCCCCCAGGAAAGGAGAGGCACCACTCAGCCTGGAATAAAACAATAAAAAAGTGCAGTTTATTATACTGCTGCATTACTATGTATATGATATTGTAGGAGATGCCACATTAATATTGGGCGAGGTTAACTTGCAGGATGTAAGTGATGACACCAATGCTCCACATGTCTGCTTCCAATCCAAGGGGCTCATAGTTGACAATCTCTGGAGCTTTACAGGCAACCAATACAAAAATAAATAAATATGCACATAAAACAGAAAGGTAAACATTTCCTTGTATTTAGATCTAATATTTTTAAAGACATGGCAGTTCAAAACCAGATTGCTAACTGGATAACTGGGACCAAACTCCTTTAAAATGTCCATTGCATTGTAGAACTGCTGGCAGTAAACAATGCTTTTCTTTCTAGCTTTTCTTATTTCTATTATTTTGTGGATATTTTTTGATTATTTTTGTTTACCTTCGTCTTTGTCCAGATTATTTTCTGATCGTTTAAGCAAAGCTGAGAGTTGTGATTAAGTGGCTAGATCGACATTCCCTAAATCTTCAGGCTGCCTTTTCCAGAGTTTTGGGATGTAGTTATTGACTTCATAACAGCTGAGAGGTCAGAATCAGAATCAGTTGAATTTCCTGAGAAGACTTCAAAAATTAAATCTTAGACAGATTGGCAAGCGATGTAAAGATTTTAAAAATGGAATGAAAAAGATTGGGTGACTGTAGCTCCGGAGATAGAGCTTGGACATCTACTAATCGAAAAAGAAAAAAGTTCTGGTGTGAATGAGGTGTTGTACAAAGCAATAGGAGTCCCCAGGTAGAGCAGAAAAGCACTATATAAGAACCAGTCCATTTACCAACAGTGAAGGAATATGAGCTCTTTGCTACCCCAGTTTATAAATAATAATCTTACCTACAAACTCAGGAGTTCCAAAGATGTTCTTGAACTCAACTCCAGCTTCAATCTTATGGGCAAGACCAAAATCAATCAGTTTTATTCTTGGCAAGGGTGTGTTCTTATCCAAAAGCATTATGTTTTCAGGCTGCAGAAGACAAGAACATGTACTAAGCAACTTTGAACACTTCACATTAGGAGGTTCTAAAACATGTGAGTTGATTTTTTGATACAAAAAGGGAAGAAAAATTAAAAAAGGGAAAAATCATTTGTGGAAAGCAGTGAAAAATGGACCCATCATGTTTCTATGCACAGCTTAATTCATGAATTTACTTTATTTACTATATGCTCAGTGGCATTTTGGTCTACGAACAAGTTTTCAACTACGAGTGAAATAAATCATTTTATTGATTAGTACATGGGATACATTGTCAGATAAGTGATTGTTTCTAAATGTCAGAAAAATGTTGTTACAACGTTTTGTTTTTTTCACTTAGCACATTCAGATGTGTTGCTACATATGAAGACCAGTCAATCATTTTGGACACACCTGGTCTTATTCTTTTTTTCTTTTACAGTGTTTGAAATAACACATACTGATGTTTGAAGCAAAGAAATGTGTTAACTGTTTCACACTCTTTATTCTTTTCACTTCTTCAGTTGTTCTCTGTTTTCTTTACTTTGGTCTCTAACTTATCCCACACCCATCCCAGTTCAAACCGTATGGAGCGATGCTTCTTCCAGGAGAGCACCAGGTACATGTCTGAAACGCTGCATCACCAATACAGTTTTAAGATAAGATAAGATACAGAGTTTAAAGAATTGATTGTTTTGTTGAGTTAGATTGTTAGATTCTGTTTAGAAATACAAAAGCAGCTTTGTAACTGCAGGAATGTCTTAAAGACACAACGTCCTGGATGACCTCGAATTTTCTGCTTCTAAATTCAGATAAAACTGAGGTTGTTGCACTAAAAATCTAAGAAACATGGCATCTGGATGGCATTACTTCAGCCTCCAGCAATACTGAGGAATCTTGGAGTCATATTCCACATACAAAAAATCAGGCCTCATCTTATCTTAATGATCTAGTCACCCCATTAGAGCAATTTGCTCTCAGACTCTGGGCCTACTTTTGGATTCTAGACTAGTTAAAAGTAGAATGGGAGGCAGAGCCTTCAGCTTTTGGGCCCCTCAACTGTGGAACCAGCTTCCAGTTTGGATTTGGGAGACAGACACCCATTCCACATTTAAGATTAGGCTTAACACTTTCCTTTTTGGTACAGCATATAATTAACGCTGGACCATGTGACCTTTCTGAATCCCTCCCTTAGCTATGATGCAATAGGTCTAGACTGCTGGGGATTCCCATGATGCATTGAGTGTTTCTTCTTCAAACATACTTTTTCACTCATTATCTGTTTATACACCACGTTGCGTGGTTCCACTTTGCATTTAATTATTTTTAATTGCAATGGTTCTCATCCACACTTTGCCCTGTCTTGATCCCCTCACCCCAACCGGTCGCAGCAGATGGCCCCGCCCCTCCCTGAGCCTGGTTCTGCCGGAGGTTTCTTCCTGTTAAAATGGAGTTTTTCCTTCTCACTGTCGCCAAAGCGCTTGCTCATAAGGGGTCATATGATTGTTGGGTTTTTCCGTTTTCTTTGTATTATTTACCTTACAATATAAAACACCTTGAGGCAACTGTTTTTGTAAGTTGGCTTTGTTCATCATGACCCCTCAGAAGGGACTCGATCCATGAAACTACTGGCCAATAACCTGCCTCAGCACAACATGGAAGCTCCTGTCAGTTATCACAGCAGGTAAGATGGCACATTGATCAATACATGAGCAGGAAGGAATGGGTACAACATTAACTACTGGAAGACTTGAGACTATAAGACCAAACTGACAAACCAGTGAAACACCTGGATTGACAACAAGAAAGCCTGTAATTCAACAGAACCCTAAGAGCCTTCATCATGAACCCAATGCAACACACTAGAAGTCAACTCTCACAAGTCACCATCAAGTGTGGGATTAACCAAGGAGATGCAGTATCTCCCTGGCTGTTCTGCATAGGCCTAAACCCCCTCAGCCAGATCGTTAGCAAAAATGGCAATGGATACAGACTGCAGAATGGAGCTAATGTTAACCACATGGATAACTTCAAGCTCTATGCCAGGAGTGAACATTGATCCAGACCACTAGGATCTACAGCAATGACATATGTTTCGGAGGTGTTGTCCCTGGCTCAGCTGCAGGGGAGGAGTGGTGCAGTGAGCTCAAGGGGGTGGTACCGGGAGGCAGGTGAGCCACAGGTGGTGGTGACTGACTGATGACAGTGTCTCTTTCTGTTTCTCTATATAGTGAAGGCAAAGTTGAGCGGGGACGGAGAGAGCTGGACTGGAACGACTATGTTCCCTGACTTCACAACTTTCAATAAAACCCAATTATAGTGAGCACGATCATCGTGTGCGTTGTGTACTTTTACAAGTGGTACCGAAACCCAGGAGTGGGATGTCTGACCCGCACGATGCGCTACCTACCCAGCCTGCACAGTTGTTGGCACAGATGCTGGTTGAATTGGCAACGATGTGTCAAGATCAGGCGGTGGCCCAGCGGGAGCGTCTGATTAAGCTGCAGGAGCACTCAGACCAGCAGACCAGGGTCCTTGAGCAGCTAGTTGGGGCTCCTGCACCGTCGAAGCCCCTGCCTCTGTCAGTAGTGATGCAAAGGATGGGGGACGGTGATGATCCTCAGGTTTTTTTGGAGGCATTCCATGCAACAGCGGAGGCGTGCCAGTGGCCACAAGCACAGTAGACCCCTGATTCCAACACTGTCGGAGGAGTTGCAAACGGCAGCCCTGAGCCTACTACCGACCTCACAGAGCTGCGTCGCTGACATGAGCCAGGCCGTGTTTGAGCAGATGGGCCTCACCCAAGAAGATCATCGCCGGCGGTTCCGCACCTGCAGGCTGACTGGGGAGGATCATCCGCTGCCGGCGAGACAGCTAAGTGGACGTGGACGTGGACGTGGCGGTCACACTGGTGGAGGATCACCTGTCCGCAAAAGCAAGGGAGGACGCGCCACCCCCCGCCACCTGGAAATTACCCCCACAGGAGATTTCCCACTGGAGCATTCTCTTGATGACACTCTGCGCTCAGCCTTTGACCAAGTGATTGAGATTGATGGTCACGTGGTGCACCCTGAAGCCGTGCGGACCTACCCGCACTTCATGTTCGTGTTATTAAAAGACAGGTTATATTGAGTGAGTCGTGACACTCGCTCGGAGGAGACACACAGCCAGTTGTTGGTGCCACAAGGCCGCTGGGAAATGATTTTCCAGGCGGCTCATTATAATCCCATGGCAGGGCATACAGTATGGGATGTGACAAAACTCTGGAGCAAATAATGGCCTGGTTTTATTGGCCGGGCATCTGGGTGGATGTTCACCGCTGGTGCGCATCCTGCCCAGAATGCCAGCTTGTTAACCAGCCAGCCATTCAAAAAGCGCCTTTGCGCCCGCTCCCACTAGTGGAGGTTCTGTTTGAGCGCATTGGCATGGTTCTCATCGGGCCATTTCACCAGAGTGCACGTGGCTATCGTTTTGTATTAGTTCTGGTGGATTATGCAATGGGATACCCGGAAGCAGTGCCACTGCGCGACATCTCTACAAAGCGTGGGGCACAGGCACTGTTTCAGGTCATCTATCCTGAAAAAAATATTGACTGAGCAGGGCACGTCATTCATGTCTCGCACACTGCGGGAACTGTCCAAATTGTTGGGCATTAAATCTGTTCGGATCAGCGTCTACCACCCTCAGACTGACGGGCTGATGGAGTGGCTGAATAAGACTTTGAAGTCCATGATTTGTAAGTTCATTCACGAAGATGAATGCAATTGGGATCGCTGGTTAGACACTCAGTTATTTGCAGTTGCCGAGGTCCACCAGGCCTCCACAGGATTTTCTCCCTTTGAGCTGCTGTTCCGCCAGAAGCCACATGGGGTGCTCGACCTGATTAAAGAAAGCTGGGAGGAAGGTCCGAGCCCTGCAAAGAATGAGATTCAGTACGTGTTGGACCTGAGAGCAAAAGTCCATCATTCCCGCCTCCCTCCATTGTGATGACCAGCGCTTTGCGGACGTGTTCCCCCCCCTGCCTGGCAGAACGTCTCTCATTGAGCATCGTTTTGAAACGCAGCCTGGCGTGACGGTGCGTTCACGGCCCTACAGGGTTCCTGAACATAAAAGGCAAATTGTTCAGAGGGAGTTAGCCGAAATGCTGAAAATGGGAGTAATAGAAGAGTCACACAGCGCCTGGCTGATATTGATCCCTTTGTCCTGTTTATTTTGGGCTCGTTCCTGTAAGAGCTCTGGGTCTGAAAGCTTGTACAAGTAGTATAGAGGCCTTTGGCGGTTATTGGGTGGTTTGGGTCACTACACATAGGAGACATCTAATACGATTACCCTTGACAACTGTGCCAGAAAGCCTCCCCTGGCACTGCCCCCTGAACCCACTGCACCGCTGCTCCCTGGCAGCTGTGCCTTCCCTGGCAGCCACCACCACAAACATCTTATCTGTGGTGAAAAAAGAGACTGTGATATATCTTGTTTGGACAAACCTTAAGATCAAAGTGGGCTATCTTTCTGGCGTGAAGGTAGTTCACCCCCTCAAGGATTTGCTTGATGAACTGAGTAGCCTCCTCCTCACTCAGAGACTCCTTCTGGGCCAGGAAATCAAACAGCTCACCACCAGAGACTCTGAAAGGGTTAAAAAATCACTGTAAAAAATGCCGGTTTATCTCTTTTTATACGTTTCTCCTTCATTTCCCACTGAATAGCTTCAGGAACATACTGTCCGACAACCTTTCACACATTCAATGAGCAGGCCTATCCGTCCACTGATGCTGGACGAGTAGGCCTGTCTTGCAGTCGCCGCTCTTCTGTCAGGTCATATTAGAACAGAAAGGACCATCTCCAAACTTTTCCCACACATTTAAAATTGTGAATATTTGGTAGCCAGAAAATGTTATGACTGGGCAAGAGCGATGCTATCACAGTCGGACGCTGGAACTCACTGAGCTCCTGAGAGCGACTTGTTCTCTATAGAAGCAGTCTGCATTGTGAGGTGCTTGATTCTGTGCATCTGTGGCCACGGAAGTGACAGAAACACCTGAATTCAATTACATGGATGGGTGAGTGAATACTTTTGGCAATCTAGTGTATATACTTAATATCTAAAATATATAATATGGTGTATAGCTTCATATAGCAAATGATTTCTTTTTAAAGATTTTTTTTCTCCATGTTTTGTAGCCTTTTTTCTCCCCGGTCATGTCCCTGTGTCTGTCTGGTTTCTCCATGTCCTGTCTCTGCAGGTTCCTGGTTTCCCTGCCATGGCTAGTTAATGTCTCCAGTTCTGGTCACTGAGTTTCTCTTCCTGTCAATAGTCTCTCTGTGTTTCATCCTTTTTTCTTCCCAGTCAGTCATGTCTCCCTGTCTTTCTCCAGCCCCTTTATCAAGTTCACGTGTTTTAGTCTGGGTCTCAGTGTGTGTTACTTCCTGTTTTATTTTGATAGCCTTGCTTTCACTTATACAGTACCAATTTAATTTCAGTAGTCCCCTCTAGGCAACATATATTATAAGGACATGTTTCAACATCACAACCACATCTAAAGAACAGCAGGACTTACTCGCCTCACCTATGATCAGTGTTCATGATTCAGTAACAAGAAATGGGGAAAAAAGGTAGATTTCCAAGGTGAAAACCATTACTGACAAAAAAGAGCACAAAGGCTCATCTCATTTGCCAAGAAACATCTTGATGACCCTAAAAACTTAGGAGGAACATGTTCTATGGACTAAAAAGACAGATGTTTTACTTTTTGTAAGGTTTGCATCCTGTTACATCTCACATAAAACTAAAACAGCAAGTCATATAAGGGTATCAGCAAACGTGGTGGTAGTGTGATGTACCGGGGCTGCTTCGATGCTTCAGGATCCAGACAACCTGTTATCAGTAACGGAGCCATGAATTCTACTCTATACCAAAAAATCCTGAAGGAGAACGTCTGATGGTCCGTTTGTGGATGTTAGTTAAAGTCTGGACTTGCATGTTCCCAAGAGTGGGACAAAATTAATACAATCAACCAAGTTTTAGGTAGGTACTTAGGGAATGGTAGTTATTTTCCATTAATAAATGAAAACACAATTTAGAAACTGTTTTACATTGACTCCAGTTATCCTTGTCTAATATTGATCTAAAACATGGAACTTTAGCAAAAAGAAATCAAGAAGGTGTCAAATGCTTTTTCACAACACTTTTCTTAAAAAAATTTTTGAGAAAATTGGACAAGTAGAGCAGAAAAGAAGAAATATTGGGCTTAAAAAACTATATACAGCAGACGAGCCGTATCTGAAAGTTACGTCCTTCAGAAAAATCCAGCAAAAAACTGTCTTATGGTCCATCAGTTGATCCTTCTGCAGCCTCATAAGAAATGGGCTCTGCAGACACGGTACCTTAACATTACTGAAGCACTGCGGGATGATCTTGACAGAGGACAGAACAAACCAAAGCCAATATCCAATAAATAGTGTTGAAATGACCTTCCTATTCTGTTCATGAAAACTCATTTCACATATTGACTTTCACACTTGTTACCACCAACTCAGAGTTTGCTATATTGTGCATGCCTGTATTTTCATGCATATTTGCACATTTCAATGATTTGTGCACCCATTTCCCATCTGCCTGGCAAAATATAGAATATACATGAAGATTTTCCACTGTACTGTATTTTAGAGAAGCTAATTGGGATTACTCAATAATCTTTGAGTAATTATAGTAGTTATAATCAGCTACTCACAGCTCCAGGATAAGCACCACATCAGTGCGGTTCTCATAGACGTCGTGCAGCATGACGATGTTGGGGTGCTGAATCTGCTGGAGGATGTTTACCTCTCGCTCTATTTCGTCTCGCCGGACTCCACGAGAGCTGGCCATGCTCTGCCGCTTTTTGATAAACTTAGCAGCAAATTCCAAACCTGTAGTTTTCTCTCGACATTGCTTCACAATGGCAAACTGCCCACTCAAACACAGAGAGGAAATCACACAATCAAATGAAGATCATTGAAAAAATCACTTCCTAACTACCACACAGAACCATGAACATATCTGCAGGTTAGATGGAAACAAGGGTGCAGTCCTATTGACTGCACATAACTGTCATAAATATTTGGCAAAGACTGGCGCACTGCAAAGTTTAAGCAAACTACAACATTTGTAGGTCGTTTTATTGACTGTGGAAAATTAGAGTTATGTTAAAATAGACCAATGAGTAATTTAGTTATTAGTTTGACTGTTTGACACTTTACTAACTAGAATGCACCCCACAAATGTCCTTATCTATATTGAAAATGACAACACAAACAACAACAACAACAAACTGCACAGTTACACCACAGGTCATGTACAGTATTTAACATTCAAATTCACTTATATGACCATGCAGATGCATCTATTTTTTCCTGGTTCACTTCAATGGTTTGTAAGCTGACACTCCACTTCCTGCAGCCAGGCTAAGAGCAAATATAACCTCTGCTAAATATAAACAAGTCCTTTAAAAAGCAGTTTGATGCGCTTGACATTTGTCTCTCTCACACAACACACAGCAACAAAAGCAAAGCCAAACATGCAACTTTGTTTCTCACTTCTCTCAGAAATAGAGCGGATCGCTTTTAGAAACCACCTGATATTTAGAGAGTGTGTGTCAGCAATCATCAGCTAAAAAGGAAGCTGTGTGCAGCCAAAGACAAATAAAAGACTTTTCACTGGTGCAGTTAATGACCCAGTGTCATTTCCATACCGTTAGAGCTCAGAAATAACTCTGTGGAAGAGTAAATGTAAATCAAGTCTGCAAACATGCCTTATATTTCCTACACCAGGATTACCAGTGATGAGCAGTTAAATGAACACAGGAATACACGTTGAAGTAGTTGGTGATCCGGTTGGTGGTTGAGTTTGTAGTTAATATGCTGTTGTTCTCAATCCATCCGTCTCACTATCTGCATTCTGATTTACATTAGACTAGCCGCTGTTACTCATTAAACTACATTTAAAGCAGATGCAAAAGCCGTGCGCGTCTGTACCTGCCAAGCTCTTCACCAATTTCATAGAAATCTTCCACTTTCTGTTGCTTGAATAGATCCATTACTGCTGCAGTCCCCAGTTTGATGTTATTTCTGTCTGTCCTGAAATGATAATTAAATAACACGTAAAAAGTGCTTTACTTAAACAACATGGCCCAATTTAAAAAAAACATCTACAAATAATAAAGGGAAAGGATTTTGGAGAAAGCCTGTCCCCGAAAATAACCAGTTTCCGATGTCATCTGGAAAACCAGATCACAGGAACTGCAGCGTGTCGTGCCAGACAGACGCTACACAACGATAATGTGTAGAAAATGTGTCCGCGTTTTTAAAACATACGTAACTCTGTGCTCGTGGACTTCCTCCTCGTCATGCCGTGTCCCCGTGTCCGTGTCCCGTGTCCGTGTCCCCGTGTCCGTGTCCCCGTGTCTGTGGCTGCAGCGCTCTGCACAGATCACAGAAAAGTCTCACAAAAGTCGTATAGTTGGAAACAAATGTCGTCGTTATATATCGATAAAACTTGTATTCAGAGAAACAGTTACAGGATCTGAACGATGTGTTTGTGTTTGGTAAGATTAACATGATTAAAATGGTGAAGCAGTAAAAACGGAGACGCTAACGTCGAATTTGTTGAATCACACAAGTGACATATGAAAACAAATACACAGTGGTCCTGTTTCACGTTGATGAGTGGACTGTTTTAGCAAGATTTGATAACACTTCAAGTGTTACTCAAGTGACTTCTCTATAACGCGTGTAATTTTCCTCCAAGTACTAATAACACTTACAATGAAATGCAGGTGATAAATAATAAATGTTAGGAAATTACAGCATCAGTTGTGGGATATAATTGTTCTACCCAGATTTTGAATTCTCTCTTCCTGCAGTATCAGTACTTGCTATTTTTTAATCTCATATTTCTGTTCTGTTTTCAATAAGCAGTAGCGTATATAGATTTTACAAAGTAAAAGTCTGTTACAGGTAAAGAGAACAGAGGTAAGCAGGAGGCGTTGGGTAGGTATGTTGTTTTCTTTTCCTGTTTTACTTAGTAATCCCTGTTATCAGTGTTACTTTTTGTTTTTATTAGTCTTTCACTCTTCAGTCTGCTCAGTCAATTAGAGTCTAACTCTAGTTATTAAGCTCCCCCTTGCGAAAATGCTTGTGAAATCTTAATAGTCAGGCTTTCCAGTTGGTCTTGTATTCCTATGTCCAGTAAGATCCTCTTGTATGTTTTTTTTGACTGATTCTCTTATTTTCCCCTTTGCTGCATTTGCTTTTCGCTAATAGTCTTTAAAGTTTTATTATTGTTGACCATAGCACATGAACAATGTAACTTTGGACTTCTATCCTTTGCATGCAGTGCACATAATGTGCTTTAAGTTGTGACATTAGTAGTTTTATATAGGCTCAGTGGGAGAGAGTGAGACTGGGTGTGCTTAGAAACATGAAAAGGAACATGGGGGGGAGGTCATCTAAAGCTATATGTGTTTTTGTATAGATCTGTTAATCCAAGGTACAAACCAAATGAAATATTTACTTTGGGCCAAGCTGTTAAAGTTCAATCTGGAACAAGGAACACAGATAGTAAAATGAAAGTGCCTGTGCAATGTGAGGCAGAAAAGCTGGTGGCAGATGAACTAGATAAACTGCAACAATACCCCGATTCAGATGAGAGACAGAAGTAGTCAAATGAGGCACCTCTGCTTCCTTTAGAAGTATTACGTCAGAGCAGAGAGTATGCACACTGTATCACCTGTGCTCTGTCAGCAGCTCACATATGGATGTGGATGGAGAAGAGGTCGGGTGTTGAGCTGAATATGGAACCACATGAAGGAGGGGGCCTGAAGGAGCTGGTGCTTCGATGGTTTACTGAGACACAGGCACCGCTCGTCCAGCACAATGGAAACTTCCCTGATTGGTTTCAAGGCCTTGCTACAAGAAAGTAAGCAGCATACAAAAGAGCTTTGCTTCAGGACACGTAGAGACTAGTGACGAGAAGATACCCAGAAAGCTGATTCTGTTCACCTGGACGTAGTGAAGAAGCCACTTTGATGACTGACCAAACATTTCTCCCACTGAGAACGCGACGTCCAGATAAACAGAATCAACTTTCTGGGGTTTCCTTATCTAGATGACTGAGCACATGAAAAAAATTAGGCTTTTTTGTTAAGCACTTTGTGCAGCATAGACTGTTGGAAATGTGCTATATAAATAAATTTGACCTTGACCTTGACCTTGACCTTTTTTTATAGGAAGTTCAAGAATTTCTGCTTTACTGGGGCTTCATCACTTACTTGAGATTTCATTTGAACACTGTAAATACTGTAAATATCTCCCATCACTATTATGGTTTTACTGTCCGTGTTTGTGGGTAGCTACTGAGGAAATGCAGAGTTTGAATATCATTTTCATTCCATGCTACCTCATGCCTCACGTTAGGACTGCTGACTTGGTGTTAGACGAGGGAAGAACATGTAGGTGAACGTATTATGTATTTGTCCGTTTCTAATTACTTTTCACTGATTGGGATAAAATAGAGATGTAAATAGTGTTGCAGCAGTAGGACATGCACTTAGAGCTTTTTTTTCTTATACTTAAACATGTTTTGCTGAAAGCACCCACAAACTTTTACCTCAATGACTTTTTCAAAGCAAAAGTTTAGCTACATCTGTTTGGGAGAACAGGAGTTGTATTCAGAAAATAAAAAGCAGCCAATATTCTGTTCCATATTAATTAATATCACAGCCAAAAATGAGGTAAAATATGAATTGTCTTTGCTCGCGTCATACTATTCAGATTAAAGCTCCTTCTTAAAGACTGGCATTCGACATAAAAACGAGTCGAGAGCTAGTTGTAAGTTATAGCGCATTAGCTACAAGTCTGTTGACATTAATGACCAGAAGGCTCTTAATGAACGGCCGTGGCTGTGCTGAACAGAAGACGGCTGTTCCCGCTTCCAAGGAATTTTGCTTAGAGCGTTAAAAATGTTACCTCTGGATTCAGCATCAATAGAGCTCTGTTTTCTGAGTGATGTAAGAGTGAAATGAATAGTTTCATGGCGTGTTTCAAATCCAGTTTGACTGCCGGTTTGTTCAATTGGATCGGTTTTGTTTTCCGCTGCAGGGAAGCAGAGGATCTCCTGAGGGATAAAAGTATGGGCTGTTTTCTCATTCGTCTCAGTGATAAAGCCTTCGGCTACATCCTGTCCTACAAGTAAGGCAAAGCATGTCAACTGGACCTTGTTGAACTGTTTCAGTATTCTTCCTCATTCCTCTCTCTGCCTTCTCCCAAGGGGTAATGACAGGTGCCGCCATTTTGTTATCACCCAAAATCAAGACGGACATTTTATCATATCAGGAGACTCTCAGACATACGGCAGTCTCACCGAGCTGATCCAACACTACAAGGTCAGCGCCATCCAGCCCTTTGGAGAATATCTGACCTCCAGCTGTAATGAGGTGAGGCTGTCAGGGTTTATAGAAGTGGAACCCAGGCACAAGACACAGAAGGCAGATTGAATGAACCAAACAGCCATTTGATTAGGCTGGTGCAGAACAAAGAAGCCCCAAAGCAGTCGTCCCAGAATTAGGAAAACACTGGGAAGTGTGAACTATATGACACAGGAAATAACCCAAGAGATTACACTGCCACACAATGAACTGAGAGGCCCAGTAACAAGATGCATTTAACCTGAACCACAAACCTCCCCAAAGTACCTTTCTGTAATTACGAGTGTAAAGCTCCAGTCAAAGTAAGACATTTGTTATTACAGGAGAGAAGGGAGCCGGAGATCGACAGACGGATTGGGGCTGCAGCTGCAGTAATGCGGACGCTGCACCGGTCCGTCGTGGTGAAGAGGGAGCTGAGTGTAAAAGCGAAGCTCTCAATTTACCGGTCGATCTACGTCCCTACCCTCACCTATGGCCACGAGCTGTGGGTAGTGACCGAAAGAACGAGATCGCGGATACAAGCGGCAGAAATGAGCTTCCTCCGAAGGGTGGCTGGCCTCTCCCTTAGAGATAGGGTGAGAAGTTCGGCCATCCGGGAGGGGCTCAGAGTAGAGCAGCTGCTGCTCCACATCGAAAGGAGCCAGCTGAGGTGGTTCGGGCATCTGACAAGGATGCCTCCTGGGCGCCTCCTGGGTGAGGTGTTCCAGGCATGTCCCACCGGGAGGAGGCCCCGGGGCAGACCCAGGACACGCTGGAGAGATTATATCTCTCGGCTGGCCTGGGAACGCCTTGGTGTTCCCCCGGATAAGCTGGAGGAGGTGGCTGGGGAGAGGGAGGTCTGGGCTTCTCTGCTTAGGCTGCTGCCCCCGCGACCCGGCCCCGGAGTAAGCGGAAGAAGATGGATGGATGTTATTACAGGAAGGCTCAAAACATTTATAATAAGAAATAACTGCATTTCAAAATTTACAAACCTTTACAGCACACTGCATTGGAGGCAATTTACACTCCCGACTATTTCATTTGATGCTGTACATGCATTGTAACTTGAAACAGTTTTTTACAGAACACTGTATCATCACTGTTAGTGAGCGCTCCAAGCAGTTTGCTCTTTATGATTACCGTGGGTTCGTACAATAGCAAAGTTACATTGGTTTCCTATGAGGAACGTCAGCTGCTTTCATTTCATTCTGGCACATATAAAACTGATTCCTTGGTCACACTTAATTTGTTGACTGAGCGCCATAGTGCAAAAAAGGAATGCAAACCACTGACGAGAGCATTGGTTGACAGATTCCATAACAGTTCAACATAAACAGCACAAGAGCTAAAGCATGTAAACAGCAGGGCGTATTTCTTGTGTTCCTCGCATCCCTGTTTGGTCTTGAATGGGCCGACCAGTCTACGCCACAAAAACTCAAAGGTGGCACCACAGTAAGTGGCGGGTGGGAAGGATTCCATTCGCTCTGTAGGAGGTTGCTCATTCTTTTATCTTCCATAGGTTTACTGTACTTGGTCTCCAACAGACCACACACTGACAGGTGTGAAACCAACTGACTTAATCTTCATGAGCCAGTAGCCAGACTTCATTGATGGTATATCACTGGAGGGGACATAAAACCATATAAAACCACTGCGTGCTATTTACAACCAATGTGAGAAAACGGTGTACTTCATTATCTATGTATAATGAAGCTCAGCACAGCTTTAGAGCTTGTCCAGAAGAGTGCTTCCACATTGCTGTAACACAGCTCTTACCTGAGCATGTTACTCACTGAGACTGAGACAGCTGCTGCTGCTATAAGGCGTATATGATTTACTCATGAAAGTGGCCACTTTCATATATCATTTTAGTAAGAATCCAAAACATACAAGTTTCTTTTATATACTTTTTCTAGGGATATTATATCTGTTTTCACTCTTGTATGCTTTTCATACAAGTTTCACTCACAGATACAAACTCTATAAGGTTTATATGTATCTTTTCCATAAGGGTGATGGTGCTTGCATCTAAAAAAGGATGCAGTCCCTTTTTCATCCTTCAAAGCTTTCAACATCTGCCTATCCTTCTGTCTCTAGACTGGCAAAGTCCTCTCTCCATTGCTCCCACCATAGTTTCAGATGTTCAGTCAATGGGTCATCCCATCCTGTGCTTTGACATCTCTTGCAGGATTCTTTTTCTACTGAGAAGATGGGTAGTAGTACATCCCAGTGGGTTGTATGTGGATGCAATAGTGGACAATATTCCACACTGTATTACAGGTAGTCGAGGGATCTCTTATATACCAAGATGATGGGAGAAGGTCTTCACCATGTCTGTCTTGAAGGAAGATGATAAACCAACAACTGTGTTCTGCCCTAAATGTTTGAACAGTGTAACCCTCATCGTCTTTGCAAAGTATCACTCATCTGGGTGCTAGTGCTCTGGGGCAGTTGCAGCCAATCAGGAGACCTGTTTCACTATTGAGGGGTTAATCTATGGTTGGTGATAGGCAGGAGGGAGGTGGGTGTGTGCTGCAGAGGTGAAACCCGTCACATGGAGACCAGATACTGTTTTACTGTGCTTTCTCACAGAAGTGTCACAGTGTTGACATCCTTCACACCTGACCTTGCTTTTACCTCCTAGGACCTGGCATCCACATACAGTGGGGCAAAAAAGTATTTAGTCAGCCACCGATTGTGCAAGTTCCCCCACCTAAAATGATGACAGAGGTCCGTAATTTGCACCAGAGGTACACTTCAACTGTGAGAGACAGAATGTGAAAAAAAAAATCCATGAATCCACATGGTAGGATTTGTAAAGAATTTATTCGTAAATCAGGGTGGAAAATAAGTATTTGGTCACCTCAAACAAGGAAAATCTCTGGCTCTCACAGACCTGTAACGTCTTCTGTAAGAAGCTTTTCTGTCCCCCACTCGTTACCTGTATGAATGGCACCTGTTTGAACTCATCATCTGTATAAAAGACACCTGTCCACAGCCTCAAACAGTCAGACTCCAAACTCCGCCATGGCCAAGACCAAAGAGCTTTCGAAGGACACCAGGAAAAGTATTGTAGACCTGCACCAGACTGGGAAGAGTGAATCTACCCGTGATCTCATCCCGTGGGTCAAAATGATCATGAGAACGGTGAGCAAAGATCCCAGAACCACACGGGGGGACCTGGTGAATGACCTGCAGAGAGCTGGGACCAAAGTAACAAAGGTCACCATCAGTAACACACTACAACGGCAGGGAATCAAATCCCGCAGTGCCAGACGTGTTCCGCTGCTGAAGCCAGTGCATGTCCAGGCCCGTCTGAAGTTTGCCAGAGAGCACATGGATGATACAGCAGAGGATTGGGAGAATGTCATGTGGTCAGATGAAACCAAAGTAGAACTTTTTGGTATAAACTCAACTCGTCGTGTTTGGAGGAAGAAGAATACTGAGTTGCATCCCAAGAACACCATACCTACTGTGAAGCATGGGGGTGGAAACATCATGCTATGGGGCTGTTTTTCTGCCAAGGGGACAGGACGACTGATCCGTGTTAAGGACAGAATGAATGGGGCCATGTATCGTGAGATTTTGAGCCAAAACCTCCTTCCATCAGTGAGAACTTTGAAGATGAAACGAGGCTGGGTCTTCCAACATGACAATGATCCAAAACACACCGCCCGGGCAACAAAGGAGTGGCTCCGTAAGAAGCATTTGAAAGTCCTGGAGTGGCCTAGCCAGTCTGCAGACCTCAACCCCATAGAAAATCTGTGGCGGGAGTTGAAAGTCCGTGTTGCTCGGCGACAGCCCCAAAACATCACTGCTCTCGAGAAGATCTGCATGGAGGAATGGGCCAAAATACCAGCTACTGTGTGTGCAAACCTGGTAAAGACCTATAGTAAACGTTTGACCTCTGTTATTGCCAACAAAGGTTATGTTACAAAGTATTGAGTTGTATTTTTGTTATTGACCAAATACTTATTTTCCACCCTGATTTACGAATAAATTCTTTACAAATCCTACCATGTGGATTCATGGATTTTTCTTTCACATTCTGTCTCTCACAGTTGAAGTGTACCTCTGGTGCAAATTACTGACCTCTGTCATCATTTTAGGTGGGGGAACTTGCACAATCGGTGGCTGACTAAATACTTCTTTGCCCCACTGTATGTGGACATCACATTTTAGGATGTCTGGATGAAAATATCCACCACTTATATTATACACTGTATATCGAAATTTAAAACGAATGTCCTCATATGTGGATTTTTTCTCAGAAACGAAAATCAGGTAGTAAAAAAAATAAAAAAATAAAAAAATAAAAATCAGGTAATTCTTTGTTTTTACATTCATCAGGTCCCAATCAGCCCAAATAGCAAAGAGAAATTAAAAATGCATGCTGTGGAAGAGTTCAGGTCTTAGGAGGTCAAATACGTCCTTCTGTCTTCTAGAGACCTTTTTATGAGGTTTGTGCAGTTGTGAAGCTGATGTGAGTTTGGTGTTCCCCATGTGATCTGGTTGATGTCTTGTCACAGTGTACATTTGTTTTGGTGCTTGGTCCTTTTAATGTCCTTTAGCTTCTCACTGTCGCTGCGTAACTTGGGCGAAGAGCAGAGTTGAAGGTAACTGGGTTCCAGATGATTTCCACAACAGGAATGAAACTATGGCACTGAAACTGGGAAACTCTCCACTTCTATTAAAGCTTTTGTAACAGGCAGTTTCTGATTTTTCTCACTGTCATTCAATATTTCCAGGCCCTTTACATAAGGCATTGCTACCATTCATGGAGTCTGTAAAGTTCCTTTGGGATCTTTCGTCTGTACTTTTGGCAGGTTTGATAGCTTCTCTCTAAATGCTCTTTGAAAAACAAATGCCTGACCGTATTGTTGATTATGTTTTTTCCAGAACATGCCTTGTAGACATTACAAGTGGGGCCACCAATGCATTTTTTAAATCAGCAGCAGAGATGCCCTATTGGTCTATCAGTGACATTAAGGAGGTTTTCTATTGGATTTGCTCACCACTGAACACTGTTGGTTCCGGTGTGGGTAGCCTGCTCAGTGTTATACTGTCCTAAACACTTTGTGCTAGTAGAGCAACAGCAGGAGATGGAGATCCCATGGATCTGTCACATGGGTGTGCTGCGCTCTTAGCTGACTGGATACGACCAACCTGTAGTCTTTCTCCGTTACAAGCTTCTTTCTTATGCTCTTCTTCCAGAGTGATATCTGCACTAATATCTCCATCAGCACCTGTTAGCCTTTTATATGTGATTTTGAAAAAACAGTTACTGGCTTACATGCATCAGTGCTTTTGTCTCAAATCCACGTAACTTTTTATGTCAGCAGAGTTTCATAATGTCAGCGTCATCCTTTCCTTTTATTTTTCTCTAAATTGTCTGCAAGTGATGACGAGCATGTTTCGGTTCTGTCTGACTTCAGCTTTTCTCTTGGTGATAAGGTAATACGTCTATTTTTGATTTGTTTTTTAAAACGTCTCCCTTGATGTTAGTAAGAATTTTTTCTGTTGACATTCTGTTGTGTTCAGAGCAGCAAGATTCATCTGTACTGCTTTGGATGTTAGACTGCAGATATGTCAGCGTTTTTACTTATTATCAGTTGTTCGCTTTATACCCTCCTTCTTTGTTCACTTGCATTTTGAAGCAAGCTTTGTTCATTAATGTCCTCAGGACTCACTGGTGAAGCTTGTATATTGTCCATTTTCTGTGCAGCCTCCTCTAGTCTTTTGTCACTTCAGTTTTAGAGCACGTGCTGCCACCTGCAGGCCGTCATGAATGTACACTTTGACATTTTGAGACACTTCCACAGCAGCTTCTAGCCAAAGAACACTTAAGCCTAAGCTGACGGATTTTGTTGTGTATAGCAGTTTAACTCACGACTGTCGCAGAACAAGAGCTGAAGAAACTTTAATCAATAAAAGAAAAATCCATTAAAAACTATTAGCAAGATAAAAATAGCCATTTTTTGATGAAACTAAACTAGGTGTTTGCTGTCTGTGATTCAGTTAATGCCCTGAAGTATTTGGCCATTTTATCTTCAACACCACTGTTAATTGTTAGCATCAACAAAAACTACCGAGTGCTTCTCAGTTTATTTTGTTGACTGGACAGGAACACATTCCCAAATGCTTCTTTTTTCTGAGACCATATTAGTGCAACAGAGTCTTCCAAACACTGTTTGATAAACAGAAGGGCCTGCTGTTTTTATTTCACCAAGTTTATGAGAAATCATAACGCTGGTCAGATGGCTCCATCCCTGGGTATGCAAAGCTTGGTTCAAAAGTTCTTGTTGCTAGCAAAGGTCCAGATGTTCATTCCCACTGCATCAGTCAAGTTCTTGCAATCTTTTGCATGTTTAGTTCCATAATAGCAAATTCATTCTTAAACCTTAATCTTGTCCAATGTCTAATCCTTAAATGCAGCAGTCTGGTCTCCACAAGCTAATCATACCTTAACATGTGACTGAATTTGATGTCATGTCATCAGATGATCTGTCTGGTTTTGCTTGTTGAAGCTCTTATTAGACAATAATGTTGCCTGTGATTTTCAGGTGGACACAAATGAACTGTATGATGTGGTGAACTATAACACCAAACAGATGTCTGGGGTGAGCGTGCAGGCACTGCGGACTCTGTGGGATCAGAAAAGTGATCATCACAGCCATGTGGGTACTAATCAAAGGATTCAGCAGCAAAATGACCCTCCTGCAGTTCAGCCACCCATACCACCGAAATCCACAGCCAGAAGGCTGACGGGGACGGTGTCTGTGGATGCAATGTCTCTTTCCCAGGTAAGCTGGACCAAGTGTCCTTTTTGAAGAATACAAAATTATAAGTGCTGTAATTACATAACATGTAATTAAAAGTGTGCATCTCACCACATACAAAGCTTTATAGTCAAAATACTTCTTAGGGAATTACAATTTTATATTTAATTTTATTCAATAGCTCAAGAATCATGTAGGAGAAAATTTGTGTAAAACACTGCACGTGCATACTTATGTGCAAATTATGCTAATGTGTGCAGGTATGCAACACAGTTTCACAATAATTAAATGTTTGCTTTCAGTGGCAGCATCCAACAGCAAAATCCGTTTAATCCAACTTCACAGTTAAAGCTCATTTTGTGCATCAACACGACAAAGATTGCAAAGTAACATAATATGAGAGCTATATTTCATATGTATATGATAAGAACTGCATTACAAACTTGGACCAAAAATACAGTAATTCTTAACATTTGTGAAACCTGCATAAATATGACCTAAAATGTGACATGACCTGTAATACAGACAAATAAAGCACTGATCCAAAAAAAGAGAAAATGATCCAGTGTTACATTTCTGTAAGAGAAAAGTGTGAACCTCTCAGTATCGGGTGTGATGCTTTTGAGCAGCAAGAACTGCAACTAAACAGTTACTGCGCTGTTTGTCTGGACCTGAGAGCTGTTACACGTTTATGGCACGAACCACTCTCCTGATATTTTACTGTAGAATTTTCTGATAACGTTTAGAACTTATTAGTTTGTCAGTGATGGGAGCTATGCTTTCACCTTACAGTCTTGCCATCCAGTATGAGAGAGGCCTGTATTTAAGTTACTCTTACTCGATTACATGCCTTGCTGTTGAAGAGATCTTTGTTGGGCCAGGGTAACAGTGGTCTTGAATCTTCTGTTTAGCCACTGTGTATTTGAAGTACACAGAATCTGGTTTGGTGTGCTTTAATTAACTTCAGCAAACAGGTACAAAGGTTTACTAATGTGTGGAAAATGTGTTTCCTTACTCGACTCCACACACGTACAAAAACCCCACAATTTTATATATGACACAGAACGGTGTTTTGCAGCTTCCTGCATATGTACAGCCTAATAAGAGCGCGCTTGAACAGCCTTTCATGGCCATAGAATTACTTGATGGAGACTTTCAGCAGGACAGTGCACCTGCATGTCACTTTTGCTAAAATCACAATTACATCAGAAAGTCCTGCCTGTTCTGAGGTGGTGTTTAAATCTACTCAGTTTTATTGAGAATAAAATCTCAGACTCTGTTTCAGTTTCACCTGTAGATAATACTAGCTCTTTAGATGAATGTTTAATATGTTGTGTAATATCTACAGTTCCAGTTTGCTGTCCTGCCATCTGGCAGATCCACTGTTCATTTTGGTGACTGAATTTTTTCTGATGAAAGCAAAATGAAAAGTAAAATAAAAAATAATGCAGAAGGATAAAAATGATGAAATGAATTGACACATTTTTCAACGAGTGAAAATGAGATGAAAATATTCTGGAGAGATGAGAACAAATCATAAAGGAAGTTGAGTATAAACGTGACGCGAGTTTGGAAGTGATTCAATCAGAAGTAATCTCCTTGTTTGCTAAACTTTCACACACATTGATTTGCCTCAGGGAACAGTATAACCTTCCTTTTTCCCATGCTCTGTAAAACACAACAACATCTCAACACTTGAACATTTAATGAACATTTGATTTCATGGAAAATAATTTGCTTTTGGAGCAACGTGGTCAAACTTGGACACTTAATATTTTTGTTAACTGAATCAACTTTAGATTAAGTCAACTATAATCTTACGATATTTAATTGATCTTGATGCCTAAATTTGACGAAAATTCATTGTTGTTCGTCTTTTCCTTCAGAAGACTAAAAGTCAAAATTTTCTGTGAAAATGACTCAACGTCCAGTCAGTTGTTCTTCTTTTCCATCGTGCCATGTCCTTGGTAAAAGTAGATCATGTGATTCTTGGGCTTCATCTTGCAAATATAGAGCATCTTGAGGCAAATATTGTTATGAATTGGTGCTAAATACAATAAAATCTAATGAAATTTATTTAATTTAAAGAAATGTTAGTGAATTGTGTAACTGGACTACTTTGTCACTCTCATTTTTATTAAGGGTATGCCTCCAGGACCAAAAAGAGGGATTCCTCTAGGATTTACCCTGAGTGGTTCCTTGCCTGATACAACTTCACATCCAATGAAATCCCAGATGGACGCATACAGAGCAGATGGAATCATGGCAAACACAAATTCAGCAGTAATGTCTAACAAAGACTCGGTTGATGCAACTGACACAATGTACCCTGGTGATCTTTTTCCTGGCATCACAACCTCTCAGTCGACACAAGTAGAGAGCAGGAGCAAATCCCTACCACAACTGGACAACAACACCACAGAGGAGGAGTACTCCAACCAGCTCAGCAGCCTGTCTCTGACATCGCCTGCTCCAGGAAAGAGGGTTACCTGCCAAACCTATTCCCTCCACACACCCCATGAAAGCGTGATCAGGTCAGAAGAGCACAATGATGACCAGGAAATATCAAGATCCAACCCTCTGTACCAGACCTCTGAGGGGTCTGAAAGCCGTTCAACCCAGCGAGGAGATGACATGTATGCTGAGGTTCCTCCGGTGACAACTCCTGCTAGGCTGCGAGATGACACCTACGAGCAGATCCCTGGTGAGGCAGCTGCTGTTCAAGGCAACACTTATGAGACGCTGGACGACATGAAGACCAAGAAGTCAAAGTCCACCTGGAGTAAAAGTGTAAGCCTGAAAGAATACTATGCATTCCAGTTCTTACTGTAAGCAGCAAAATATTAATATATGAACTTTTCTTATGTTCTGTTTGCAGAACATGAAGTGGAAGAAATTCCTACCTGACTACAAGAAGAAATAAATGCAGAATCTGTTGTGGAGAACCTCCTTAATATAAACGAGATGAACATTGCTCCTCCAGTTATTTGTTCTTATATGCAGATGACTGTGTGCTGTGAGTGACATAGGGATAGAGATAAAGTCAAGATAAGAGGCTTACACATAGGTAAGATTAAGAAAATCAAAGCTACAAAAAACCCTGAGCTGGACAGACGAGGGTTTTTTGGGACTGAACCCAATCACAAATGTTTTTAAAGGATTGGTTTTGTCTGAGGTTGGGTCCTTGGATATGAACAATGTCTAATCTGTAACACCTGCTGTTAAATACTTGGATTTTATTGTTGACAAGAATCTCAGCACTGCTGTCATGGATTTGAATGGGAAAAAGGTTTGAAATCATTACGTTAGGTCCTGATCTTAGCCCTGTTTTAACTCACATCATCAGATCCTTTGAATCAAACTCAGGGCTGTAACGCACAAAAACATCCATAAATATTCTTATTTACTCACAATTTATTACAATTACTTATTTTCAGCAGATTAGACATGTGGTCTCCTTTGTCTCCGACCCTTATTGTGAAGCACTTTGTGGTTTTTATCCTGTGTAGAGTGCTTTTTAAATCAATAAAGTAAAGACCAACTGACAATAAGGCGGGTGGTTATGGGCTAACATTACAACAGCTAATATTAGGCTTCCGTGTCCTAAAAATCACTTTCCCTCTAAACAGGTTGAATATATTGTCACATCATGTCAGGATTAATTTTCCAGGTGTCTGAGTCAAACAATGTTAGATCAAAGTTTTATGAACGCCAGCTAACAAAACGGCAGCGCTTACTGACAGAAAGATTCAGGATATCCTGAGCAACTCAATTCAGTATTGTCATCAGATAGAAGTGAGCTCTGCTGATTGATCCACCCATCCTGGACAGATTTCTCAGCTTTACAGCCTTCTCCAGAGTAAATAGACATATTGACATAGTAAACTTGGCTATCTGAGTTGAAATAACAAATATGTGAAAACAGTATGCCACTTCCTAACCAATGAACAGACAACATTTTTCAAAAGGGTATCCACTCCAAGAAAGGAGGCGAGATGCTGAAACAAACTGATACGTACTCGGCCCTGGCTCATTAAGGGCAACTGTGCTGCAGAGACAACCATACCTAAGTACACCCAGTACTTTGAAGAGCTTAGAAATGCTCCTGTTGTTATTTTTCTACGTGTCCTTTGGCATCAGTGTCTTGTCTTGTGGTTTTAGGTAAAGTAAACTGACAAACACCAGGGTAAAAAGTGAAGCCAGTGCAAAATCAACAAAACTCCAACTCCTACAGGGGGTGATTTTAAAAAGAAGTTAGTTAGTCAGTAAAAAATAAATAATAAAGTGTGCTAACACAGGTAGCTATAGTCACTAGCTATCTGTAGGTCTCAATTCTTTAATTATCTTTAATTATTGTTTTTTATGTAAATGGTTTACAGGCACCATGATACTGAAAAATGCAGCCGTACACGCTGTCTTACATCCACTTGTTGGAATCACTGTACTGATCTCATTTATGAGATGACCATGCTGTTTGTGCTTCTGGAGGTGTGGGACCTGATGGACCAACCAGAGGGCAGCAGGTCGAACATGTGGTGGGTGGGGTGCAAGGAGTCACCTGTGATTGCTTCCAGGTAAGCAAAGGGCAGCCAATGATTTTTTTGGGGCAGTTCTCAGTAGTGTGTACCAAACACCAAGGCAGCAGGAGAGCACGCTCTTCACTGAGGAGCTGTAGAAGGCCAGCGGCAGCTTCTAGGTTATCCTTTCTCAAGACACGGAGTAAGTGCAGCCAGTGCAGGTCCGGGGGGACAAAGATATTGGTTGGGTGGCTTGGGGGTACAGTCATAGATGTATAGGGCACACAGTAGGGGCTGAGAGCGTAGTCCTGTGAGGAAATCTTTGATCATGGAGCAGGTGGCAGGGGGGTGTGGAGGTGGTCTAATTTGGATTCAGGATGTCTGGGATTATAGTGCTGAATTCTGAGCTGTAGTCCATGAAGAGCATCCTTATATAGCTCTTCCTGTTTTCAAGATGGGTCAGCGCTCTACAGATGGGTCAAGGGATGAGGGTAGACAGTCCCTGATGTGCAGCGACACTATCTGCTCGAAGCACTTCATGACTACAGACGTTAGGGCTATCGGTCTGTAGTCGTTGAGCCTGTGTAGACCAGACATTTTGGGGATGAGAACAGTAGTGGAGGCCTTCAGAGAGTGGTGTGAGTCAGGGAGAGGTTGAAGAGCCTGGTGAGGATCCCCCCAGTTGGTCAGCACATTTGTAGTTGGTGAGGGCTTGGATGCCTCTCCACACCTGGTGCAGGTTGTTATCAGTTAGGAAGCCCTCTGTCCTCCTCCTGTAAACCTCCTTGGCCTGTTTGATGCCCCTCCTCATGTTGACTGTAGCAGTGCTGTACAGGTAACTGTCTCCTCAACCTGAATTACAAGTTCAACACAATGGACTCGAGTGAAGTGGATGCAGGAGGGTGACGAGATAGCCTAAAACATAGTTAAAAATGAGACAAGGAAGCAAAACTAAATGCAAAACAGAGGAGACATCTAGCTGTGCAAAATAAAATGGGCAGTAAACTTGTGGAACAGAGAAAAGACACTGGAAAAGCTAGACTAACCAAAACAGAAAGGATTACTTAATCAGTATAAACACTCCATGTAAATATTTATTTAAAAATATTAATTAAAAACACTCAATACAAATGCAGTTAAATCAGCACAACATTTATTTTCAAATACAAAGAAATACAAAAAAATACATATCAGCTGGGCACTTTTCTGCTGACTAATAAACAAGCATATTTCCATTACTTGAGCTTGTTATTTAAACATTTTTTAACTATGATAAGATTTAAATTTTATATATTTGGTTTATTTGAAACTTTAATCTTCATCTTCACTGACCACAGTAAGCACACCATCTTTGATGGAGGGTTCATGTCTCCTGGCATTAGGGTTGGAGAAGGTTGGGGGAGGGGCATTTATAGATTGGTGTTGATAGATTTTAAATTTGTAAAATGTTAAATGCAACTACCCATGACCGTGCCGGATAGCTAGTTAGCTAGCACATTTACTATTAGCTAAAGTGGTTTTTGCTGCTGCTACTGAAGCGCAGAACACATGAATTTGGGACTTCTGAGGGTGCAGTTGAGCGCTTGCATTCACTGATCTGAGAGGTTGTAACCACAGAGTTATAGCTGTAAGCAGTTAAAAAATTAAATAAATAAATGAGTAAAAACTGAATTGCAAACATTAATCTACACATTTATGTATATTTTCTCTGTAACTATACATTTAAAGCGCAAGTGAAAATACAAGTTTACATTTTTTTTTACACATTATCTCTTTTTTTGACAGCTCTCGCATTTTGCAACGTATTTACTTCCATATATCGGCCCTAAAGGAAAAGTTGATAGTTGGGACGTATATTTCTGACCACTAGATGTCTGATGTCAGAATTATGTCGTTTTTCTGCGGCAGCGAATGAGAAGAAGAAAATACGGAAGTACGGCTCCCAAACACATTCCCGTTGGAAGAGTAAAATACTGCAGATTGCCGTATTTGCTTTGAAACGAAGCATATCTTGGACTAAATATTCAATCTCAATAAGACGATGGGGACTAGAGACGATGAATACGATTATTTATTCAAAGGTAAAAATGTGAATTTCTCGTTAGTGTCGTAGCTTTTAGCCGATAAGCTAAACAGGCCAGCTGGTCAGCTGTCAGGCTAACTAAGCCAGCGTCAACCTTTGTGCTGTGGTTGATTTTCACCGAGCTTTCAGGAAATTGTAGGGAAATTGATTTGAGGGTGTATACCTCTAAACGGCCTTCACTTGAGGGTTGGCGTTATAGTGCTATTTTCTTTACGTACGGTGTATTGAAGTGATGGGGCGAAAAGAAAAGAACATTAGCTGTTAGCTACTGTTAGCTTGTTGATGGTAGGCGCGGACACGCCTAGCGTTAACCGTTATCACGTTATCTTAGGTCGAGCTTGACAAGCTACAGGAACTTGTGTGAGGATTGGAAAGAATGCGTTAAGAGCTGCTTCATGAACACGTGACCACAATTTTAAAAATGACCCAAATCATTCTTTTCGCCATTATGTTATTTTTAAAGTATTTTTATTACTGTGAATGTGTAAAATTTGCTTAAAAACTCAGGAAGATTACTTTTACTATTTTTGTGTCATAACAGTGCTTCTTGGTAATAAGTCGTGTGCTGGTGGAATGCTTTTCTATTACTCCTTAAATGGTATCGCATGTTTGGGTTGCACCCATGAAGAACTATGCCAATGTCAAACAACTATCAACTCTTGTTTTGAGCTTCTGGTACGCCAGGTATGGACAATCTGATGTCTGATTAGCAGGGCATGAACCTGATCAGTCAACATGTTTGACTGATCTGGATGAGATCCATGTCATAGGGCAACTTCAAGTTGGTGTTTTACAAGACTAAGTTTCAGCATTATTTTTGAGTGAGTCCTAGTGCCATCTCCACATTGAAGGCCAGGTCCCATATGAGGGTGGATATCAGAGACAGGCTGTGCAGTCGGTGTCCCAACAAGACAACATCACAAACACACTGTCAGTGTGGTACTCAGTCTTCTACAGATTTGCAATCAAAGTTTGGAGGACAATATTTCTTATGGTTTTGTAACCAGACAACCTGGAACAGACTGCCATGACTGCCCTTCACTGTTAGTTTCATTTAGTGTTGATAATGGGTGCAGTTGAACCCTGAATGTGTATAGGAATGTTACGTTCAGCAATGAGTCCAGATTGTGCTTACTGCAGTTGGCTCATAGTGTCAAGTGTCAGAGTATGGAGAGGATGTGGAGAACCCTGTGCTGATTTATGCACCGATACGGTGAAAGCTTTTGGTGGAGGCAGTGTGATGGTGAAGAGCAGCATCTTCCTCAGTGAAAAAACAAAGCTTCTCATCACTGGTAATCTCAGTGGAGCTAGATATCAAGATGAGTTTCTGTAACCAGTGGCAATCCATATCTCCACAGTCTGGGAACAATCTCTGTCCTCCAAGACGCTTAACCCACACAGAGTGGAGTTTATCAGAGACTAAATCCAGAATATAGGTGTGGAGAGCATGGAATGACCTGCCAGCAGTCCTGATGTCAACACAGCTGAATGCTTGTGGCATCAGCATGGAGGGTGCTAGTCCTGCCAGAGTAACCAACACAACCACACTGGCTGCCTTGTAATAAATATGGGTTGAAGGATGCAATCCCACAGCAGTGTGTGACCAAGCATG